CCAATCCCAATCCCAATCCCAATCCCACACACACCTCCATCTCCATGGTCACACAGGTTGCCAGCCCCGCGCGGGCGATGGACTCCACCGTGTCCTTGGCCAGGCCGTAGCGGTGACCCCACAGATCGTACGTCAGCAGGAACTGCCCCTGAAATCCCGAATGAAAAAATACAGATTGGTGAGGTTGGAATTAATGTAAGAATTTAAAATTTTATTATATTATATAATATTACATTACATAATATTATATCATATCATATTATATTATTTCATATATTATAGTATATTGTAGTATATTGTAATATATTGTAATATATTGTAATATATTGTTATATATTGTTATATATTGTAATATATTGTTATATATTATATTATATTATATTATATTATATTATATTACACTACATTATATTACACTGCATTATATTACACTGCATTATATTTTGCTATGTTATATTATATTAATTATATTATATTACATTAAACATTACATTAAATAAATCAGAGCTGGAGAGTGAAGTTGAAAATGTAAAAATTAAATGAATCAGATATATTATATCAGATATATCAGATATATCAGATATATCAGGAAAATATAAAAATGATAATAAATCAGGGCTGCACACAGAAAAGGAAAATATAAAAGGGAAATAAATCAGAGCTGGACACAAAAATGGGTAATGTACAAATTAAATAAATTAGAGCTGGACTCAGAAATTGAAAATATAAAAATTGGATAAATCGGAGCAGAAATGAGATTTTGGGCGCCGCGCACTCACCGCTCTCTGCATCTCCTCGAACTCCTCGGCGTCGATGAAATGGAAATCGAGACCGCGCTGCTCCCCAAAGTACGGGGCCCGGCTGGTGTGACACGGACTGGAACAGACCGCACAATTACTCAGTTAATTAGGAAATTATTTTAATTATTTATATCTTTAAATGGGAAATTTAATTTAAAAAATATTCAAAATATTTGCACAATTATTCCTTTAATTACTTAATTATTTTAATTATTTATATCTTGAAATGGGAAATTTAATTTTAAAAATATTCAAAATATTTAAGTATTGTTTATTCATTTATTATTTATATAACTTACATTATTTAATGAAATATTTCTAAATATTTTTAAATAATACTATTTTATTTCTTATAATTATAGTATTAATAATGAATAATATTATTTATATCTTTAAATAGTGGATTAAATTTTTAAAATATTCAAAATATTTATTATGAAATTATTTTAATTATTTATAT